ATAAAATCCAAAGATATGAAATAACTTTAAAATCTCCATAAAATCCAAAGATATGAAATAACTTTAAAATCTCCATTGCACTGATCCTTATGTGATTCTCACCCCCTTGCCCAGTCCTTCTCAGGCACCAACGTTGAGGTCTCTTATTCATTTTCCAGATAAATCTTTGCTCATTCATCATTAATGTTATTCCACTAGATACGGATTCTGCTTCATACGCTCACTCCCCTTTCCAGAACACGCCCTCTGTAGCCTCCTAACCAAGAACAACATCACTCTTTCCTACCAAAAGTATACTTTCAAAAGGCAACTGTTAACTTCTCTAAGAGCCAAGTCTTCATGTAATCTTATAAAATAGGACAGAAGGAAAAATCAGTAACATTCTTCTATGCAGGGGTTGGTTATTGACCTGTAACGTTATGAGCTCCTTGAAGGGCCATGAAAAGTGTCACCCAAAGGCAGGAGTTGAACAGATGGAAATGATGGGAAAGATGATTACTTGCTGGGATTACCATGGTCAAGACATCAAGTAGGGAGTAATAAACATACCAACTTGGTTGAGGCAGAAAGGAAGGAGAGAGAGTTATGAGCGGAACTGTTTGGAGAGTGGGACTTACTTTTAGCAATAATCAAAGATTTGGCTTGATTTCAGACAACTGAGAAAGAATATAATATTATCACAAGAGGGTCAGTGTGGTAAAGATTTTAGAATGGGTCAAAGCAGTAATATTCCTAAAAAAAAAGGTCACATTTCTAAAACTGGTGCCATCACCTATCGGACGATTAAATTTGTAGGGGAAGCATCCATATATCGCCTTACACAAAGTAATCACACAATTGAAACCAAAGATCCCTAAAGCAGGCTCAAATATTTCTAAATGAAAGAGTGTAATGAATGAATACGCGAACAAATACAAAATGTAATTTGTCAGAATGAAATACTGATCTTTTCAGAACTAAAAATATTTAGATACTAATATTTACATAGTATCCATATTTATGAATGTGTTCATAGAGTCTTCTCCTATTTTAGGATCACTGTTTTTACCAGGGAGCCATCATACACGAGTACGACTCTGCTGCCAGCATCAGCACGTGTAGCGGTCTGAGGTAACGCGGCACATCTTCCTTCTTCCTTTATGAGTTTCCCTGTGGATTTTCACAGACATTCACTTCACTCATTTCTTTTTACCCATGCTGGTAAATAGCAAAATTTATGGGAACAAAAGCTACTGGATACTTTCAGCAGTGAGCATCAGCCCTAGCCTAGGATTTATGTTTTCACAAAAAGATGTCTAATGCACAGTCCTAAACAAGACTAAGCGTTGCAGTCTGTGAGCAAGGGATTCAGAGCTGGGAGATCACTGCAAGTCATCTAGCCCATCCTCTCATGTTACAGACCAGAGACTGAAATCAGAGACTTGCTTGCAAACATTCAGTTTGCTGGTGGTAGAATGGAGTC